CAGTGATTTTGAGTTAGACTGAAATTTCACCATGGGGAGTGGGTGGAGACAGGAAAACTACAGTGAAAATACTAGTCAGTCCTTGGTGATACTTTCATTAGTTAGTGCTATCTGGCTCAGGCTTTATGACAAGGGCATTATGTCGCACGAGCCTCCATATGGGCAGGAAATGGGAGAATGCATAAATGCGATAATTCCACGAGCTACTCGCAGGATTCGTTGGAAAAGAGAAATACCATGAAGACTGAACTGAAGTTGCTTTTTTATGGTACCTTGAGAACGCTACCTGTATTTTTCGTGAGCGCAATTTAAGTTTCAACCGATCACTAGGTCTACAAACGGCTTGTTACGGTCCAGCTCCGTCAGTAAAATCAATTAAAATGAGCAATTTTCGAAAGACATTTTCGTTTACAGATTTGCGTGGCTTAGTTAGCGAGCTGATACTTTTTTTAGGGCCTATTACAGTAGGCTACAACTCCCACGGCCAAAGACTAAGATTAATGGCTGCAAAAACCCATTCGTATGGGTTCGTACAGAAAGGTATAGAAGTGCTCAGGGAAATGATAGGATGCTGTAATTCACCCTTCATTGGAAATATTGAAGTAACTGTATAGAAGGACGTGTAAGATATAATATCTGGAAGTTCTCCGGTTCAAATTTACCTTTGCCTCAATCGTATTCTGTCCATTTCTGCTGCCTTCATTTTTTTCATAATGCATAATGGAGAGGTAGTCATAAGGTTCACCGTAATAGGTGAGATCCAAAGAAGTCAATTTGTCAAAATCCGAATTAGCTCCTGAAACTACGCTATTACATGTGGTTAATAACTGTAACACTCTCAGAGTCAGAACTCGACACAATATCAAACAGAACTAAGCATTCCGATCCCTGCAAGGATCCCACCCTAAGGGTGGTAGAACAGTAAGAAATCAAACGCATTCTGGAGTTGAGATGCACCTACACATGAGCCTTGACTTCAATCCAGCATTGAAGCAACTTTCGAAGGGGTATGTGGCCCATACAGTCGGTCCAGATGAGTACATAGTGGAGAGGTAGGTCCATTTATGATTACCATCCACTATGTTGTTTACACGCAATAATGTAGGGCCAATAACAGGCCTGTTGCTCTTACGTTTCATGACTCGAACCCCTTGCTCAGTAGGAAACTAGAAAATCTTGATATCAATAAATTCTTACCAGGAATAATGTTTTGATAGAAAATATTCACATAGCCATCTCGGTCTTCCCGTTGATGCTCGTGAATGAAACCTAAATGAACGATGTCGTTATAATAACATAATATAATAATATAATAACAGCCCTGTCAAGGTGTCACGATTCAGTATCAAATCGGTCCATTTAAGGTAAAAGATGTAAACTGAAGGGCCATAGACGGATCGAAGAGCAACTGATACTTGTATAGATCTCCATCCGCTGGAGCTCACCGACGAGGTGCTAGAACCCGAATGCGAACCAGAACCCGAGCGGCATCATTGGGCAGCAAACTATAGAAAAGATATAGCCCCTATGAAGTCTGTTACCTACCGTATGCAGACATTCGGTATCCAGACCTAAAAGCACCCATAGCCCCCACTACTTACTGTCATTAAAGCTGCGTGGATTTTTTGTTCACGACCTAGTTTACTTCGAATGGCAGATTTGACTTGAGACGAGGAAGTAACCGAAGTTGAAAAAAGCGAAGGTAGTGGAAAGAAAGTAACGAATGCAACGGACCGATTACATGCATAAGTTCGTGGATGATAGTTGCATAGTCTATACATTCATCTGCCAGAGATACCTGTTGTCGGCCACCCACACGAGCAAAATCAGCATAGCATCTGAAAGATTGCACTGGTATCGCAATGAAATTTGAAATTAACTAATGGGTCAATTACTAGGAATCACTCCCTAACAAGGGCCACACTCATACGTGATACCTGGGCATTGGTTTCACTTCCCATGTGGAAACAAAACCGGGTTAAGGCGAGTTAGCCAATTTGTTTGCGCTCACAGCGACTTTCTTCAGTCTCCCTGTTCCAAAAGACGTTGAGGTGAGCGCAAGACTTACATTTTTTTTTGACCCATACCTACAAGCCTGCTACATTTTTTACCCATACCATTGACGAACACGGACATTCTATCGCCTTTTCTGAACATATGTATATAGAGTCTCAGTTCTGATTAGGGCTTAAGTGCGAGTTTTAAGTGGCGTGGTTTACGAATTAAATGGATCCTCTTCATCCTGAGTCCTCAAGATGCGATCCACCACTTGTCTATTTCTCTTGCCGGAGCAGCGCTCAGAACGATTTTCATAATGATTTCCCTAGTTCCAGGATGGGATTTTATAATATTGCGACACTCACCCATCCAACTTCGAGATAACTATGAAATCACGGTCTTGAGCAGTTTTGGGAACAAATCGAATGCACGTCTTCGCTTGATAGCCAGCGATTGCTCGTGCTATTACTGCACGTTGTTTTTCCGCTTAAAAGACGAGATGAATAGATTAGTTTACATTGACGCACACATAAATGCAGTGCTATGAAATACTCACTATAGGCAGCTGATAGCACATAAGGAACTCGTCCACCAGGCCACTTGTCCGA